CCCTTTAAGGCAAATCATGTCTCTTTTTCGCGGGCTCTACAAATTTTTATGTTATTTCTAGGGTGAAATGTCATAGATACCCCTGTATAAGTAAAAAAATCTAACTGGTTAAATTATAAATAACTATAAATTATAGGACTAAATTGTAAATTTTAAAATTTCCAAAATTGTAAAATAAGGAACAAAAATTGAAGATTTTTCAGATCTTCTTCCTCGTTCTATTCCGCCGCCCACCTCCCAACTAGGAAAAAATTCGGTATCGTCGCCGCCTTCTGGCCTGTCTAGCACCACCGCCGCTCTCTGGGTCGTCTAGCACCACCGCCACCTACCTTCTCCTTCAAATTTATCTCCCTCGTCACCGTCGCCTTCTGGCCTGTCTCGCACCATCGATACCCACCTACTCCTTCAAATTTCTCTCGCTCGTCACCGCCACCATCTGGCACCACCCAATTCTTAGCGAGAGAGAGTTGTGTATAGGTAAGGTTTTTCTTCTCCTTCACATAATCACCATCGTCGCCGCCTTTGTTAAAATTGCATATATGGGCTGCCATAGGAAGAGTGAAATTGGAGGACAAATGGTACTTTGCGAATTTGGCAAATCACGGTTGTGGGTTGTGGATCCAGAAAGAAGGTGGGGCTGCAAGAAAGGGTGATCTGGTGGTGGGGCAGCGGCGGCCGGCGTGGAGAGAAGAAGTGTTGAGTTGGGTGGTTGGTGGTGTGGGGGTGGGGTGGAGCAGTGAAGAAGACGACTCTTTTTTTGCTGCTCCTTTTTTTTTTCTTTTTTTTTTCTTTTTAATGTAAATTAAAATGTAATAAAAAAAATATAAAACGTATAAAATCTAATACAACAATATATGTTTAATTTCTTTTTATATTTTATAATTACAAAATTATTAATAAATATTGTTTATAAAATTAAAAATAACTACACATCAAAAAAATAAATAAAAATAATTGTGTAATAAAATTTTGTTTAATTAAATTAATTTCAGAGTTGAGAAAATATTAAAAAATAAATATATATAGTATATATTTTATTAATTGCTGAAAAATCCCGTAGGGCATTTTTGTCATTTCACTTTTAGTCAATGCCTAAAAACATAGAGGGTGCTGTGAGTTTTGAGTTTGATTACACGAGGGGGCGTTGGTGAGTTTTTTTTTTACAGTGGGGTATTTTCTAATTAGAGATTACACAGGGGAGGTATTTGCAATTAACTCTTATTCTCACAGTAAAATATATATACTGATCAACCGTGAAAGAAACAATATGCTAAACACTAGAATCGAATACAAAATTGAGATGTAAATTATAATAAATTCAAACAAAGTTTTATTGTAAAGTACCATAATAAAATATACCCAAAAATTATATTTTTTTTCCCTTGGAGATTAAAGGCTACTGAAGTGGACAATAAGAGAAGCAAGACGGCAACGGTCAAATAAACTGATGTAGAATCAGAAGGCGGTGGGCCAGTAGGTGGAGTCATGGTGGTCGCCTAGGGGTTTCAACATCTGTGGTTGGTGCACAAGCATCCGGCTGAGGAGTTGACGACAAGGGGGTGATGGGGGTGGTCGCCGATGGGTTTGCCTTGCCACCAGCCAACGAGTCTAGTACAATTACAATTTAATTTCTGTCTGAATTGGCCGAGAGTGCAAATATAGTGGTGGTCCTCGGTGCCTTATAAGCTCCTCGAGGATTGATAATGGCACTTATCTGATAACGGCATAAAATTAATAACACCTCATTTCAAATGACACCTCATTAATTTTATGGTGTTAATAACACCTCATTATTTTATGGTGGTATCATAACCAAAGCATAGGGTAATGAAACACGAACATCAACAAGAAACATTTTATGAATTAATGAACAAACATGGCCATGATAATCTTGTTAGATGATTTCATATTCTTATCATACCATAAAAGATGAAATAAGAGTACATGAGAACATTCAACATGATATACAATACCAACGAAAAGATTCGACTAATAATGATTAATAAAGCCTATTCCCCTGTTATTTTCATCGTGCTACAAATGAATGAAACCTCCAAAATATACCTGACTAATTCGACATTCCTGGAGCTTTAACAATAGCCACAAGCTAAGAAAAAACATCTTAGTTTTAAGAAATTTCTTTGTGTTCTTCATCTTCGTCGGAAGAGTCGCCGCCGCCGACCGGCTACACCGCTATTTGCATAAGATCGGCTGGGATGGAGAGAAGTGGTTGCGTTCTTATATGAAGAATTTGGGGAGTTTTGATTTTATTTTTTCTTGTAATTTTGTTAATTGATTATGATTATTGTAATATTTGTTTAATGGTTATTTTACATTTTTTGGTTGAGTTTGTAACGTTAATTAGGTAATTTATATAACTGTACGATGTGTGTATGATGGTGTACGATCTGTTTTTACTAGGTTCGTACTTTTATTTGAAAAATCCCAGTATCGTACTAGATCGTACTAGGTCGTACAAAAAAAAATCAACGGATGAGATTAACTGATACGCGTTTTCCTCACGTATAAATTACCGCAAGTATACAATATCGCATTTTGTAGAACAGTGGTTCCAGATATTGATCCACAGGGACCTTGTAGATTCACATGCTAAGTAGTGTAATTATATTATCTAGCCGATCGTAAATAATTGGAATGGTGATAAACCCTAGTTTGAAAGCATGCAAGATTGTAAACATGCAAGTATAGAAGTACGTAAATAAAATGGCGACAACTCAACACGGGAGGGCTTCGATTTAAAAGGGACTTCTAGGGCCAAATCCACCTATGTATATCCAAAGTGGATCACGTCTCCGTTTACACACCCCGAGCTATGTTTTCCTAACTTCAAACAAGAAATCCTCTGTCAGAGTTCATTCATATTTAATATCAATCCGAAAGCTGATCAAACAATCAGAAGCATTTAATACATGAAAACATAATTGAAATCAAAAGACGATAAATAGATAACAGAAATGACGATCGAAATCAATATATTACAAGGTTTCATTACCCTAGAAGAAAATGTTCTTAGTTCATAACAAACATAATGTCAAAAGAATGTACACAAGAAATGAAGAACAAAACATAAAGAAATTGCGTAAGAAAAACCCAAGTCGAAACCCCCATTGTTGATTCCCGTGAAGGACTGTCGAAAACCGTAAAAATGTCGAAGTAGCATGAAGAATGAAAGGGCCTTTCTATTTATAGTGAAATGCAAAGCTTCCTCAAGAAGCTTTGCAAAATAACTATCTTTCTCAAAAGTCGTGCCCATATCGCGATCTGGGTTGGCTGGATCGCGATCTGGCAGCCTCGGGGAACTGCCCACCGCCATGCCAGATCGCGATCCGGATATGTGTATCACGATCTGGATCTTGATCAAAAAGTCTTCTGTGAACACCCCCAGATCGCGATCTAGAATGTCAGATCGCGATCTGGGTCTTGATCCTTTTTTGTTCTGTGACAACCCTCAAATCGCGATACGCAGTTCCTGTATAGAGATCTAGGTCTTCTTGGCCCCAAAATTGTCTTGAAAATTCGGTTTCGCTTTCAAATGTGTTCGACTCGGCAAAACTATCTAATAAAACCTAGAAATAGAAATAAAACAAGAAACAACAAACATAGCTTATTTTCTCTCTTTTTTTTTTTTCTTTTTTTTTGTTTTCACTTTTTTTTTTGGGTTGGGATATTCCTGCATTATTTTTAATTATGCATGATTTTTTCATTTCACATAAGTCAACAATAAAATATCAAATAAGGGGCAATGTCCAGAGTACATTGGGTGATTCTTGCTATTTTTTTCAATACAATTGTTTTTTTGGCCATTCAAAATTACACAGGGATTATGTGCAAATAACTCAATTAATAAAGCATCTTGAGAAATATAAAAGAAAAAACATAAAATAATACATAGAGAAAATCACCATGCACGTGCAACACATGTGCACCTTGCTAGTACATACAAAAATATACAAATCTGGTGGATATATATGGTGCTTCTCTTAATACCTAGAATTCATTAACTATCGAAATATTAAACATAACTAAAGGTCCTGAGTTCTAATCACCACCATTTAGACCAAAAAAATTAAAAAAATTCATATCTACATTACATGCATAATGCTGCTTCAACTATTGAACTTTGGAGATAAACATGACACTGAAGCTACTCAGATCATTAAGTCAAATAATCGAAGCTTAGCTTAAATGGCCTTGCCAGCTTTTCCTAGATTGACGTTATCAATTGCGAATTTCGCAAGTTATTGAATGAGAGTGGAGGTATACTCGATTGTACTTATATTATTTGTTGTGATCGAGTTCCTTCATTATTAATTAAAAAAAAATCTACTGATCTAGTATATATATCTATGCATGTGCCGATTTATTTTCATTAATTAATTTCCATTGCAATTTTTAAGTGGCCAATTCAGGGGATTGGATGGGCAGAACGGGAGCCACAAATGCTTGTGTCTTATTGGCGCAAAATATTTCGGGGTATGCATATATTGAACGGAGTAGCAGACGACTGAACTCCAACATAATAGCTTTGATATAGCTAGCTAGCCCTTTTATGCCTTTGAATGTAGAAAAATTATTGCAATTTCTGACAAACTAATAAACATATAACAATTAATATAGCGTAAATTACCTTGTCTTCGTATCCGGTAAATTTTCCAGTCAACGGCCTTTTGTTTACTCGTTTTACCCATCCTTCGGGCATCCACGAGTTGTCATCCACTTCTCTTTTGTTGATTGGCTTCTGCACAAAATGTTAAATAAAATTAATATTTCAAAAAGTGAAGCCTCCATTCACAGTTGAAAGGTGATTGTTTCCATGTCCAAATCTCTAATTCTATTCAATTGCCGCAAGCAAGAATTAATTAATTTAATACAATGTAGATAGCAGGATATATACGCGACAAAATGACCCTTGAATGCAAGGATAAAATAGCTACAAGAGAAGGCATACCTTTGTTGCACCACCTAATTTCGCTTTTTTCTGCTTCGAAGGTCTACAAGGCATCACAGAACCTTCTCCGACTTGTTCTCGCTCCATGTTCTGTTCCCAAAAAAGTTGATTAAAATTATGCAAAACCATATATCAAAATCTATGGTAACAACATGATAAAGTCCATGATGCAACAAATAAATAAAAAGATTCCACAAAATTATATATATATATATATATATATATATATATATATATATATATATATATATATATATATATATATATATGTACATATATATGTATGTATATGTATATGTATATGTGTGTATATATATACACATCTAGATCATATACTTTACCTCTCGAGGTTGATTTGCTGCGGAAATTCGCAAAACCAGCGAGGGTTGTTGAAGCAGCTGAGGGTTAGGCATAGGGTCTATGCCTTCTCTATCTTGTCTGTGGTCACAAAAGGATGGAGTTATAATTACTTCATATTGCCATAAATTTGCTCGAGTACTTGAGTGAATAGTAACTTAAGACAACAAATTAACATGTGATTTAAACAATTTTTCGAGATGACACAAATAGTAGACGTTGGAACTTGGACATCATAAAAATAAGGGTAAATAGCATTGAACCACCAGAAATTTTTAAGTTTTTGCGGATCACCTCCTGAACAACTTTTTTTGCACGAGTTCACTTGTACTCAATTAATTGTGCCACTTTACCATTTTTTGCCCGTTTCGAGGTCAAAATGACCGGTTCTAAACCCATGTGCGCTGCACATGCGAAATCCAAGGCTATTTTTGTCTTTTCCATTTAAAAATCCCTTATTTCTTTAATTTTCTCTCCATTTCTCTCTTCTCTCCATTATTTTCCCTCTTCAATTAGCTAGAAATAAATTCCCTCATTCGCAAAATATATATAATATATATAGTTGTAGAGTTCATCATTTGTACCAACTTATTCTATAACTCTTATTCTATCGTGGCTGTTGCGAATCAACTTTTCAGTTCTCATCATTTAATCTAGTTAATGTAATTTAAGTATCAACATTTTACCATGTTACAATTTATTTGATTTCTTTCAAGTAATAGTCATATTCTAAAACAGTTTCAATCTCGTATTGTTTTCTTGTGTAATTTTGAGGTTTGATATATTTATTTTGAGGAGAAAGTAATGTAATATATGACAGATTCCAGGTGCTACCGAGAAGACAAAACGTTCAAGCAAAACAAACTTGTTTGGACAAATGGAAAATCCTAATTCTAAGCATTCTCCAATCCATGGAAGTCCTTAAAACTACCAAATTAAATGATAAAAAGGAGCCTATCAAAGATGAATCTGCAGCCACTAAGATGAAAGCGTGAAAAAACTGCAAGTGAAGTTTGAAAAGAACGTTTGCCACATGGTATCAATAGCTAACTTAAACTTGAACTTGGAGTATCTGTTTATCATTTTTAGGTGACAAGATATGAAGCCTCATATCACGTCGGTTGAGGAAAATGCACAGATACTTTTACTGAAAAGATCCCTCGATATTTGAATTTTCCAGTTACTTAAGCACAATAAATATTTTTTGTAGCAAACAAGAAAGATTAAATTCTGACCGTTTGTTCCCCTTTAAATTGGCCATTATTTTATTTAGCTTTTTGTGCATAATTCAGATCATGCAAGTAGCATGTGAGCTAATTTCCTTACACATGTTGTTTTAACTATGGCTATCAAATTTTATGGTATATGATAAAACAAAGTCATAGCTCATGTTGAACCGTAAAATCATGACATTATCATTCTTCGTTCAATTCATCATTGAAGGCTCTAACCTCCATAAAAAATAATTTTTTTTGTCAATTTTGCTAAATGGCCAAAACCTGGCTCTGGGCTCGCTTCAATACTTGCACTCTTGGAGGAGATTATTAGGTATATATCCTCTTTTTGTCTTCAAAATAAATGTGATCGACAACATTCAATAGAAAACTTCTGATGAGGATCTTGAAAACAGGGCCATTTCGTCGAATCCATCTTAGAGATTATCACCAACAACGGAATGAACTGGTCCAATGGACTTGAGACGACAGTGGGAATGTCGCAACTTTTGATTTCACCGATGTGGGGGGGGGGGGGGGGGGGATTTGTTTTATTTTATTTTGATGCTTGTAGTATGTATAAACAAAAGGGAAAAGTTAGAACGTCGAAGTCCTGAGCTCCATAATTTATAATTTCTTGTGTGCTATTTTTTTTTTTATTTTTTGTCAAAATTGGAATTTCATACTTCATACTTTTTATTTTCTATGTTCTTTGTTCAGAAGTTTTACTCTGAGGAGAAGTTGTATAGAGTAAAATGTCTATTTACTAACATCATGCTATTATAAAAAGAGATTGCAACTCGAATTTAATTTGGACGAAATTCTAAGAATAAAGTGATATTAAGGATAAATAAACAGTATAGGTAAAAAGAAGAGGTTAATGTGCATTTTCACGTGCCTCACACGTGACTTTTCCATCCAAACTAATGGAAATTTCAAACGGTGGACGAAAATTGTAAGAAAACTGGTTATTTGAGGACCAATTTCGTGCTAGAAAAAAATTATCGACCAAAATCGAAAATGGTGTATAATATAGGGACGAGAGTTGTAATTATCCCCTTCCAAACCCTAATCCTATTAATCTTTTCTCTTTTTTTCCCGTCTCACCCATCTTCTCTCTTGTCCTTTCTTTTCTATTTTTTCTCTTTTTCCTGTTTTCGTCCAAATCCTTCTTCTCTCTCACAGGAGCAAGTGGTCGGACAAAGAATTGTCGGCGCCCCATATCTTCTATGCCCTCATGGCGGCGCTCCACGAGGCCTGAACCACCACGATGCTGCTGTCGTGAGCAACAGCAGCCCCTTCTCGCCATGAGAGTCGATCTATTATTGTCGTCCGAGAAGAATGAGATCAGTCTCCATGCGGGTGGAAATTAGACGGTGTTTTTCTTGTGACGATGGAAAGACAGATCTAGAGTTTTTTGTTAGATCCGGCGGGGTAGAGAAAGTCGTGCATGCTAGACCCCTATTCAACTATGCTCAGTAGTCGTTTGAGGTTTAATCGACTATGATTAGTAGTCGATTAAAGTTAATCATTACGTTTTTTAATTAATTTTTGAACTTTTGGTTATTGATTCCCGATTTTGCCACGTGTAGTCGGACTTGGGGCATTTAGGTAATGTGTTTTTGTTCTGTCATTGTCAATCCATCATCCAATTTCTATAAATCAATACAATTTTGGTATATCTTTGTTTTGTAAAAAATAGCTGATTTTCATTTTCCTTTTTGTAGTTGTTTTTGTTATTTGTTTCGGTTGGTTATTGTTTGGATTCTTTTGTTGAATCGTGTTGGTTTTGATTGAATATATTACGGTTGTTGTTGTTGTTGTTGTTGTTACTTTTAGTAATTAATTTCATTATTCAACCACAGTTTTAAAAAATTACAAATTAAAAATTACAAAAGATATGAAAAAATAAAAAATTGAAAAAAAAATTAATTAAAAAAAGGGGGGGAACAAAACTGGGGATGTGTGTTGTTGGAAAAAAAGATCGTGGATTATTGAGGAACGGAAAGGAGCCTGAGTTTACATCAATGAGTGAAATATGGGTTGGACATATCCGTATTAATGAAAGTTTTTGGACGTTCTCAAAGTGCCCCATTTAATAAAGGCGAAAATCAGCCCTTTGTAATTTGGAATTACCGAAAAAATCCTCATGTTAAATAAATCAACAAGGACCCTCCAATGAAAATCAGTCAAATCAAAATAGGTCCTTGACAGCTTATCGTGGACACCGCGCGCAGAGTGGGCTACCGGGGGTGACTTTTTGACCCCAAAGACCAAAATACCGTTTAAATTATAATTTTAAAAAATTACAGATTCAACCCAAAATGAAGTTTTTGAAATTTTCATTTCAATTTTTCAAATTTTCAGAAGCGCCTTCTCTCTAGATTAACTCAAAATTGGAACATCAATCTCAATTTTTAATTAAATCCTTAACACAAAATCTTCTCCTCATCGAAAAATGTCTATCTTGACCTCATCGAAAAATGTCAATCTCGATTTCTATTTCCAAAACGCCTGGGGTCACCTCCGACCAAAACCCGAATTCCTCAACCAGCCACGAAAACCCTCGGTTTCTTTAGTGAAATTTTAAAAGAACCCATGGCAGCGAGGCGCCGTAAGAGCCTTCGAGTAGTTTTCACCGGATGAGTGTGTTAATTGCATGTATTATCGTAGACATCTATACCTTAGGTAGCCTTTTACGAGACTTTTTATTTAATGCTTTATTCATAATTGGTTTGTATAGACATATAGTGAATCGGTTATAAATAATAGACTCATAATACACGCGACCGCGGGTTATGAGTAACTGAGTGTCTCGGGTTAATAATCGGGAATCTTAACTTGCATGATAGAGGTTGAATTGGGTGAAGAATTATCATATAGGGGGAAGATAAAATCCTAGATTCGTTATTATATTGATATTCTTTCTTGTTTATTTGCTTTCATAATTAGTTTAATTAATTAGTTGATTGAATTTGACAACCTTGCGTAGGCTGGATAAGAATCATAGTTGTTAGAATTTGGTACTTAGAATTAGGTATTTTGAGTATTCTGTGTGGGATCGACATCCGGCTCTTACGAGTCCACTTTTACTACTTGTTTGCGATACGTGCACTTGCATGTTAGGTATTTAGCTCCAACAAGTTTTTGGCGCCGTTGCCGGGGAATACGGCTAAATTATCTATTTATTCTAATATCAAATTTGAGCAATTTTTCTTACTTCAGCCATTTATTTTTTATTAATTTTTTTTTTTGTTGTTTTTGTTTCATGACAGAATACAATGTTCGGGCACCTCAAACGGGATATGAATGGCTTTCATCTGATGAATACCTATGCCTCCGCTTTGTTTAGCCTGTGGTGGAAATCATTATTCCGATCAATGTTGGGGATCACCAACAGCGACGAATTTCGATGAAATTACCTGCGGAGGTTATTGGAACACTTACACCATCAACACATACGAGCAAAGTTTTCAAGACCAAGATTTGAATGAGTTTCAACATAGAGAGCCACAATTTGA